CAGGATTAGCCTTACTCGTAGTTATCTGCGTACCAATTTAGTTTCAACCGGAGACGTACCTGGAACCCATGTGAAACTCTCATCCATCATGTTCTTACCCAGCTTACTGAAATTAGCCTTATTTCCCCGTGTAGAGTTGTTTGTCTGGAATCTGATAAGGCATTGTCTTTTGGAAATAACTAAAACACTAGACGCACTAGATCCTCATTGTGCCTGATTGGAGACACTACAAGAAATGGTTGCAAACCGATGTCAGTGGCGTTCTTGTTGTCAGTTTCTATCCAGATCGCCTGAGTGAATGTCTGGAAGTATAGGCACTTCGAAATGATTGTGTTAAGCTAGCACTAAGTCCCTCCCCCGTCCACCTTTATTCTCTACTTTACAATAAGGCTTCAAATAAATCATGGTTTTACGGTAGTGAAGCATTGGTGTTGAACACTGATGTCATGCTGTCGATGATAATGATGAAAATGTGCGTCTGTTATTCATTAATGGTGTGCACATTAATGGGGTTTGCACCACCTTACCGGGATTCGAACATACAGCTGGCCATGTGGTTTAACAGGCCACTTGAGTGTAGGACTCCAGTGTTGTCACGCAAAACAGGCTGCATTTCTTGGGTTACGGAGATTGGAGCAGACTGAAGCTTGTTCATTGCAACGAGCAATCGATTGCTTCATATCAGGTTACCGTGTTCTTTTTAGCTGTACTAACCAAATGCTCTTGGTGCTTAGGGTCACATCGTACCTGGATATCAAGTCGACACAACGTAAAATAAATAGTAATCACTTACGTTATCTAGCATGAAAGCCCTGCTAATCGATGCGTCGTGAGTGTTTGATTTGCCGCTGAAATTAGCTTGTGGTGATCGAGTGCACCCACCATTTATGTCACAGAAAGTGAACGACGACTATCCACGGTTCAATGTAAATAGTAATTACGTTATCTAGCATGAAAGCCCTGCTAATCGATGCGTCGTGAGTGTTTGATTTGCCGCTGAAATTAGCTTGTGGTGATCGAGTGCACCCACCATTTATGTCACAGAAAGTGAACGACGACTATCCACGGTTCAATGAGCGAGTGCTTACGAAAAATAACCCGGCTCTAAAAGACGGAGAATAGGCAATCGATGGACACTCAAGTTCCACCAGTTTATCAGAAGCCGATGTAACTAGATACCTGAGCTCAACTGGTGCCATTACTAGGAGAATCAATGAGCACAATTTTTAATCTCAGTAGGCTTGTTGACTGCACTGTGGTTTTAAATCCTGTGTGCTACGTATATTGTGGCAGTATGACCTCAAGCTACATAAAACCATAAGACGGCATGACGAGAAAGCGAGAAGTAACCTGAGTTGAAACGATTAACTGGACGGCAAGATGTGTTTGTATATTTCAGTCTCTTGATTTCAAAGCACTGCCCATTTCGGTTAAGCAGGTCGTAGGAGACTTTCGGTGGTGCAGTTGATTGGAGCAGCTGACCAGGTGTATGTTCGTCCCCCTGTAGAAGTTTGAAAACTAATTCATCGTGAAAAAAAAATTAAAAAAATCGTTTAGCTGTAATACTCTTCCAATGCCTGGCTGCCATGCCACCCGAAGGATAGAAAAAGTAGTTTAGCTGTAATACTTTTCCAATGCCTAGCTGCCATGCCACCCGAGGGCTGAGATACTGCCAGGTTGCCCAAGCCTGGACGGGGGAAGTTGAGTGGCAGAGGTCGGTTTCGAACCTCGGACCTCCCGGTCAGTAAATTCGCCCTCTAACAACTTGAGCTATCCCGTCCAATTCGTCGGTAAAGCCAATAACGAAAAACCTATTTGCAATTTTTGATGAGCTATGTCGATGTGACAACACAAAAGGCTTCAGCAGAGCCAGTAGGGCTCCCCGCGGTGAACCGGTGAATCCGATGCAAGGGCGAAGGGAAAAATCGCGAACGGACTCTCAGATTTTTGTTAAGATCCGTCATCTATTCTAAGCACAAGGATGTCACAGGCAGCATCCGTTCCTCACCAAACGATGAGGGTACTGATATCAACCCTCATATCCTTCAAGTTTTAGTATAGTACCGCAAGTGCCGGCACAATATCACACAGTCCCTTCCACCGAGAGTTTCCTAGGACGAACCCTTTCAGCCGTCATGTATAAACAGGCGGTACAGGTACAGTAAAGGCATAAGCTCATCCGTTAATAGGGCGAAATCATCCTAGTTTCGTGACTCATACAGCTTTGAAACAATGGTGCCTCAAGAGACCGACTTTGCTCACACAGATAGACCCACATGTTAAGCAGATATATAAGTTTATTGGTGTTGCGGTTCGTTCGAATACCGTCGGGTCTTCTTATCTCTGCATGTGTGATATTTTTCCAGGGGCATCTGTCCAGTAGTAGATTTTCAGATGAACTAGAATCTCAGTTAGTGCTACTCAAACTAACCTAGTTCTGTCTCTACCGTAGTTTGGGTCTTCCTCAGCTTTGAAAACTGTTCCGAAGTTTTCATGTGGCAGTTGTTCAGCTATGCGATCCGATGGCATGCATCCTGATTGGCCTAAACTGTGTACTGGAGTTTGATCCAAAATGTTTTCGATTCCGCCGGACGTTGTCATACTAAGGCTGAGAGGATCATTATGACGGGTTGATGGAATACCGCTAGGTTATTAGTTATCACCTTGATGGTGCCCTAATAGGACTATTCTGGTAATACTTGCATGGTTACACTTTGACACAGGTGCAGTATTACGCTGAGAAGTAAAGAGCTAACGGATGACGCTGGCAGCTTGATGATAAACAGGTGACTGGTGCCGGTGCTCATTGTCATTCCGCTACGTTTAGGCCGGCTGATAGCGCGCATGTTCGTCCACCGATTTTATTCCCTCGCAGCACTGCATTTGATTCAGCATAAAGAATGCTCAGACGTTCAGTTGTATAGACTATTGTCAACTGACAGGTTAGATTCAGATGAAAACCGCTCATTAACCGACCCCACGATTAGACACAGTCCTCAAGATGTACTAAATGAATGGAAAGTACGAAAATACCTACATCCAAAATTCTAATAAAATATTAAATATAATAAAATATATAACACATAATGCAATTTCGTTGCATTATTATATATAATAAAATAAGCAATAAATATACGGATATATAAATATCCCCCACATAACACAAACACAAAAAATATTTTCCAACAAGTTTCGGCATACAACTTTTCAACGAAAAGGATGGAAACGACCGTGCTGGTCATAACATATTAAAGTTCTATATCCACATTACTGGAAAGACGAAATATCACTCAGTTCAAATCTTTTCCTCGGTGACATTAGGTAGCTATTTATAAGGAGCAATAATAAGCAAATGAAAACTGCACTAAGGGAATGATTCAAATGAATTCATAGCATTTTTTAGCTGAATTTGCTGCACAGGGTCGCCACACCTTCCACTTGGAAGGAAAATCATGTTATCGAAGCCTTGTCCCCGATAGGATATTACATATCTGGTGGATTAAACTTCTTGGAGAGTCCATTGTCGTTTCCGCTCTTTTGAGAACCCATCAGAAAGGCCAACAGTTTCCATCGATTATGCCGAGTAAAACGCTCCGATCGCCTAAAAATCGTTTCAGGTGAAACATGAAGTGATCCCTGTGCCGCAAGCATAATTAGAAGGTATTATGAACGGTAGATACGCTGAAGACTCAAGCTGAGTTGTAGAAGAGTTTATCCTTAAATATTTCCATTTTGAGATATGCAGCCGAAATAAAATCAACGGAAATTTGGATCCATGTCTCAGCTGAAGAGACCCGAGTGGCTNACCCGAGTGGCTCCTTATGTTCCATAGCTGTGAGCAGGAATGAAGTCCATTGGAATAACTAGGTAAAGCCTCCCATAATTTAGCAATCAAGAACAATGTGCTTCTGTACCACGGCAAACGGACAAGTGTTTCCTCTATAAGCAGACTCTTAAAAATGTACATTTTGCCAAAGAAACGACATCTTTCATCCACAAATTTTTATCGTTGGATCTGCCTTAGAGAAAGTACTCTTTCCGAGAAGGTTCGGCATGTTGTTCAAGTCAGCCCTCGGAACCTACGTACGTCTATCTGATGAGCCTTAGAAAGGACAAAACCGTCAGTGGGCTCTCGGCGGATTTTTCAGTATCCAAAAAAACTTTATTGAATATCTTCACAGCCAGTGTGGTGCACGTTGTGCGGAAATAGATTAATGCGCTATCGACTGTATTGTACTTCACAAGTCTCCAGCGCTGGCTGGTTCATCATACATACGAGCTCAAAAAGCACTTTAAGAAAATGGGCAGATTTGGAATGAGAATGGCACTTAAATTGAAGCTTATCTTTTACTACACATATTTTCGTGTGAATGCTTTATACCGCCAACCATCTCTACATTAGCGGTGAAATAATGCCAAATTCGCTGTTGAAGGATTGTAATTTTCAACCACACAAAACTTCTTGACCTACTTGATGATCTAACAAACGGAATCCCAAAGAAAATTTCTGTCTAGAGTTTACCAAAGACGCGGATAGTAGCGGACACATTCAGGTTAAGAGTATGCAATAGACGCAATTCTCGAAAGAAGCTTTGAGTGATAGTCACCACCATTTGTCCCAACACTCAGGCTGCCCTCTCGGCGACAAGGCTCGTTCGCGTAATTTCACAATTTTTTGTTCGGAGTGGAAGTGAACTGCGACTCTCTACTACCTGTTGTGATATCAACATAATATAGAGATGGGAAGAAGCAAAGTGGAACTTTCTTTTGATTTTTGTATAAAACAATGATGACTGGCGAACAGACAGCCTTCTCCTTTCTGACTCCAGGCCTAACAATGGATGTTTGTGGGCAGTCAGCAGTTCGTCATAAGGAGAGTTCCCGGTTTCACTCTTTAAGTGACATTAGTTGCCAACAGGTTCGATGGGAAATTCGTTTTTTTCGTGTTAAATCCGCAAACGCAGTAGTGCAAAGTACATTCAGTGGTACTTTTCTTTCAGACTTGGTTCAAACTGTTTGATGCACAGGACAAGGGAGTGATCACTATTGACGATGTGAGTCGTACCCTGGGTGTTCCGCCACCGAAGTATTACAAGTGAGTGGAGATTTAATAGTCCCTGCACGTTGATCGTTGGCGTAAATCATCAGATGGTCTGCTCGTTTTTTTCAACGTTTTGTGTAGAGCCTTCTTGTCCACGAATGCATCTATTTGTAAGTGCCGCTCAGTGATAGCATTCCCAATGCGGTACCGTCACCACTTGCTAATACTGGGTACTATTTCCAACTTTCACTAAACATTGCCACTGGATTTCTTCTGTTCAAGAAGAGAATATTTTGAGAACTTTGAAGAGTGATAGGTGGGGTTTTTTATGGAAGGAACAACTCTGGGGAAAGCTTTTCCAGTTCGTTCAAGTTAATCACTGCTTTGATGGAGCCTTGGATTGACCACGGTTAGCATCAGCTTTGGTTCTGCTTCCCCTTAATTTTTGTACACGAATACTCCAGTGGAAATCACCAAGTTTAACACGATTCATGTAGACCGATTCACAGAATTTTACAGCTAGTGGTTTCCGTTCGGAAAATCTGATAGTAGTCTGCGCGACCAAGTGAGAAAATTCAGCTAACTCCCAGGACTTTTACCATCTGATGGCCTATGAAGTTACATACCATCTATATAAATAGTTCGAAACTACTGCTTCTACATAGGAAGCTCCTTGAAGTAGAATAAATTTCCGATCACGTTCATATTATGAACGTTGTGAAATAAGAAAGACTAAACTGGTGCAGAGTGCGTGCGAATACAGAGAGTAAAATACTCACGTTGTACGTAGGCATATGCTGACACAGATCAGTTAAGTGTGTAGATAACGCGTCCCATAAAAATCGTAGGTACTATATTAAGCGTCGCTTGGATATTCAGAGCAAATGATGAGACATTCTCTTTCCGTAATAGATAATGCTTGAAGGCTTCTGGTAAAGCAGCGTGTAACCTGAAATGGTCCATACATTTCGTTCACCACGTTTTTTAGAAATGACAAGCTGCAGCCGACAGTTTTCAGTTTTCCCACAGCCAATAATTGAGATCCACTGCCTGATTTCCAGTTACATTTGTTCAGATAGATAGATGCTTCGAACTGATTTACGGAGACCAGTTCCAACTGCATAGAAAGTGAAAAGCTCATAACTTTCACTGTAGCCGGTAGATCAGCTTAGGAGTTCATGTACGCTGAACTAACGTTCCATTATCTTTGGACAACACATCACTAAATGAAGGCCAAAGTTTAGGCAATAGTCATATTATTGTGAACAAATCACAACTGTGCGGAGCCTAACAGCGTTGCGGTGGTATCATCGGCTCAGATAAAGTGAGGAGCACTACAACATGCCACAGCAATTCAAGCTAGTCGGGACTATGTAACCGAAAAGGCAGCAAGCACCTAGTCTAATGACAACATCACGAGCTGAAAGCCTTCTGCATTTCCGTTAGTTTTGACGGCATGAAATTCTCAGCAGGAGGAAAGAATTTGATCGAATTGGTCCAGTCCAATGGTTCATCCACGGAAATTGTGTTAAACCAGATTGTGCAAACTACTGAAGGATGGTGAGTAGGCACTTTTCGGCAGCAATTTTTCACTCCACGCTGTGCTGAGAGTTTGCAGCTCAGACCCATTGTACGAAAAAACTACTGGAAGTGATATGCCAGTGCGTACAGCTGTTGCTAATGTGGCCGTAATAGACTACATTACTGATTAACTACTCAGGACAATGTTCGGCTTCACATCGGCATCTTCAGGACAATGTTCGGCTTCACATCGGGATCCTGAATACGTTCCAGTGTTCGCCGCATTCTTTTCTCAATGACGAAATTGAACAAGAGCAGCGACACTGAGTATCCTAGTAGTAGTTGTTGTATAGAAGCGTTTGGGGAGCACACGCATAGAACACGCATAGAAGTATTTGAATACATGGCCTGTATTACGTTCAGAAACTTTTGGCATACATGACTGAAAAAAGTGTGGTCAACAGCACCGACCGATCGACATAATCGAAGATCCCATGTTCGAATGACTTATTTCGCAAACGTTCGTTCCAGATAGGAGTAGCGCTTTGGATATTTGCTCCAAATGACCATAAATATCTGAAAGCAGATCATCTGAAAAGCTTTCGGGGAGCCGGTTCTGATAGGTTCCTTCTGATTTTTGATCCACTAAGTTGGATGTTCACATTTTGCGTAGACCTGAAAAACCGCAATAAAACCAGAAGCGGACGAGTGCATGGTCGGAGCTCATGCTGGTATTCCATGAGTGAAAGACGGTGATCGACACTTCCCACCGATAACTGACATCTTCACACATCCAAAGCAGGCGATCTCTGCTGTCGGTGTGTCTCTTATCCAACTTTAGACGATCACGCAGCTGGACCTCAGCAGTACCTAATAACCTACCTGAGCTTTGATGGCCCCACGAACCACATCGATGACTGAACTTCTAGTCTGTCGTAAAAGAGCACCTAGAGCGTCATAGTGACTGTGCTTGACAGATTTAGAGTTACAGTCCATTAATGCTTAGTAATAAACAAGGTGCAATGGGCTTCAGTTTCCCGAGATTCTCACAGATGTTGCCAAACGGACCGCGCAGAGGCGACTGTCAATAGGGTGTCAATCAAGTAGGGAAGCTTCCTCCCGGTCGCTCAATACGATACCCACGCCGGTATACCCAGCTACAGCGTACTTTGCATCACCACAGGTGCGCAGTTGGTACCTGGACGAGAGCGAGGGGGCAGTCATAGTAGTTGAGTCTTGTATCCTTACTTATGAAAATAGCATCCATCAGTGTGGACAAGAGCCACCTGTTGTGCTGCTTGCTTCAGTGTGTGAGCATTGAAGGCGACTAAGTAGACACGCTGCTGGGGTTTAAAAACGAATTTCAAACTGTTCAGGGTTGTTGCTGAAGGAAGTGTACACAAGCTGCAGCTGAGCGTGATGCAGGGCGAGCAAAACGGTCAGTCCTAGAGCTGGGACCTGCGAAGAAAGTATTCAAATTCGGACGGGGGAGGTCGGAAGATGGGAAACGTGAAAGGGTAGGAAGGGAGGCGTCAGTAGTAGCATGGATTCACTTACCCGCCCTGATGTATGCATCAACTAAGGTGACACGGCTGATAACACCACGCTACGGCCGATGTGGCATGAGAGTAATGTTAGTTGTAAGTGTCATGGCTGTACATGCACTGGGATACTGCCAGGGCACCCATTCCTAGAGAAGAGGAGAATTATGGTCCCAAAACAAAACCTCCGGTTAAAAAGTATGACCGCAAGGCAGCGGTGTTTGGCGAGAAATGTAAGTGCTTTACCATTTTAATGGGACAAGTCACCACCCATGTTCCAACCCCCAATCTGTAGGATCAGGAGACTGTGTAGGTCATACCCATGACCATTGACCAAACTGGCATGAGAAAATCTGAGTGTCGAACGGACACTACCCAGTATAACCCAAATGGGTCGCGGAGGTACACACACCGTCACACCACCGTAAGGTACAGTCTCTTCATGACGGCAGTTACCACTCATCTCCGGTAGCCGATCGGAGCGAGTAGGATTGGGACTGACATGGGAATAACCATTCAGTTCATAGGACACCACTAAAAATTCGCTTTCAGTCCTGAGTGAGGTTAGAGGGCGCGGGTCTGTTGTCTAATCCTAAGTAATACAATAACGTTGAGAAAAACAGTGTCTACTTTAAACAGCTATTAGTATTTTTGGGAGAGAGATACAAAGTCCCTCCCGAAAGAACCGAGCCAAAATTCCTTAGCAAATAGACAGCCTTGTGGGCGCTGAGCATCCGTGCCAAAATTGTTTTTCTCCTGCAATGGACTTTTTAAGCCAATAAACTATATTTAAGCATTTCGCTTTCGGATGTCTTATGTGGAGCTAGGAAACACTAGAAATTTCTCTGCATGATATTTCTGGCCCTCAACGAATAGATAAACCCTGTAAAAACATTGGACGGTACAAAACCTGCAACCCACTAGTGATGAGCTGATGGCTGTTTTATCTGTTCAGACACCTTCCAGATAAAATAAATACACCCAGTACTGCGTTCTCCACGTGGCCGTGTTCTTTAGTGGATTTGGAGGTTGGCGAAAGCCACAATCTTCCGAGTACCAGCGTTCACCCTGGTACTTCCATCAGATTTACAAAGTAACCAAAGACCGTTCTCCAAAATTAGTGTGTTGTTGAACCCTAACGACGATGTCAATTGAAAAATGAAGGAAACTGGAATAGTTTTTCTCCCATGAATCAATAAGCTTTCAGATTTTCTTACGGGTGGCGCGCCTGCCTGTCAGCTAAAGAAATAACTTTTAGTTCAAATTCAACTTTGTCATATCTTACCAAGAGGACTGTGTGTGATGTGCAATCAATAAACCGGTTTAAATATGGACAGAATTCATCCCACCCCCACATAGCAGTCCGCACTACAACGCACGTATTGTATGAAGCTGTCATCCAATGGACACAATATTCACATTGTTTCTGGGATATGTCATGCTCCGTAAAACAGACTATGGCGTACTGGTATTTGACCGTTGCGCTGCAGTGCGGAACTGTATCTCAGTGAACCTAGGACAAAGAACTCCCCAATAAGTGTTTGTTTGAGGGTCACGTTCTTCTGTTGACAGTTCTTGAGGTTATACATTCCTCCATATGGGTCGACTTAGCCCAACCGACAGCGTCTGTTTGCTCCCTACTCTGAGGACATTGCTTACCACCACATCTTCACCGACCATCCTCTAAATCTTAATGTAATACACTTCCCTCGAGGGCATATAGGCACACATCTTCTATGCACTGACGTACCTGGCCTGATTCTAATTCTACTGTCAGCTCAAAAAATGAGTATCCAGTTTGTCCGCACCAAATACTGGTCTGGTATTACAACTGTTTAGTATAGTACGGTATGCCAGGCTAAATCCCAAACCCTGACCACTTTACTACTTACATCTAAACTCTTTAATCGTCCATAAGCCTGATTCACGTGAATTCATTCAAATGGTTGAGTTGGTGGCCGCGTTTGCGTCGTAATGAGCTGTGAACCCAACAGCCATTTGTTTTTTTTTAGGACCCACCGCAAGTCACTTGTCAGATATTCCAACCGCTGGGATGTTACTGTTGCATACGTTTTAAATATAACGTCATGCACCTATTAGTTAATTGTTTTGGAAGTAAGTAAATTAAGTATATTTTTAATGAACTCACCAGGGTGATTGAGCTAGGACTGACGAATAGTTGTTCAAACAAGTGACGGGATGGTGAATTTCAGCTGAGAACGTCAAATGAGCTGAGGAGTAGCGGTTTCGACGGGATTCGGATCCACACAAGGAAAACTGAGCAGATTGGCAGAACGTGGGCTACTACCAAAATAGGACTCTTTCGTTCTAATGACCTTATTTGTTCGCTTCATCACTAACATGACCCTATAGTTATCAACAACATTTGCGAGAGTGAAACTGTCCTACTAATCCGGCCTTCTTGATTTAGGACCATCAGTAGCACAGACTGATTCGAATTTTTTTTGAGGTCCTTACAATAGTAAGCAACTTAACCAAGAAGAGATGCTCACGAGTTCTCGGCGCTACTTCATGTTTGTTCAGAAAGCCAGCCACGCATTGCAAACTCCTACAAATCACCAGAGTGCTCCACGGTGTACAATCAATGGCCATCGTCCAAGACCATAATTACCTAATCAGCAATACCGTTAGGACAGTCAAGGCGCTTCAAACAAACAATGGTCAGTTGGGGTCAGCCACTGCTAAACCCATCAAAGACTACCCGAACAACCAATGCATAGTTGAGAACGGCAGTTAATGATGTTGTTTGTACACCTCTAAAGTCCCAAAGATTTCCTCTGACGAATCGAGATCTCCCTGGGGTGCACTGAAACCTTTTCTCAAATGACCATCGGATAACAACATCCGCTTTATCCATCTTACCCAAGGATGCAGTTCGTCGGCATTTATTCTTCCGAATCCTAATTCTAATTTTGGTAAAATGGACGGAATGGGCCATTTCACTGGTGTTCTGGGTCACTTGGAAGGAGCCTTTTGGACTAATTTCCATCAAGTAGCAACAAAAAATATTACATCCAGGTGAACCAAACTATGCCAAACTTTTTGAATGAACTTCGCTGAAAGAATAAGCGTCTACTCTGTAGCCTCACATATTTAGCAACGAAAGTGTAGTGGCATGACCCAGCACATTTGAAGGTTATGTCAAGCGAGCACTTATTAGTGGTTACAGCTTACCGATTCGTAGGATTGAGGTTATGTAACTTGATGCCAATGAAATCTCGTTCCAAACCCTGTGTCCAACTTAACAATCCTACTGAAAACAGCGGAACAAGGTATCATGGAACATGGTTTTGCTCCAGGACCTCAACATATGTGCTAACATTCCACGAACGCAGATAATAAATGTTGTCGCCTGCTGTCTTGGGGTTCTCTTTACGAACCTCAGGTGAGAACTAACATTGCACGCGTTGCATTGTACCACAGTAACTACCATGATAAGAGACAAGAGTACACAATATTCCTGTGGTGATCGTTTGAATTACCATAAAATAATCACCCGCTTCGCAGGAGACAGACACTAGGATATGGATTATGATATCCTTAAGGATAAGCGTTCCAGCTAACAGTGGTGCTCCAAGAGTGACTCTAATATTGCGGTCACACCATGGGTCACCTTTCATCAGGGAAGGAAATGTGTGTGCTTGTGTTGTATTCTCCAGTATGATATCATATCCCCCACATCGCTTACTTTTCGACCAAATAGGTTTTTCGGTCACAAAATTGCAAGTTTCATTGCATGTTTCAGTGCTGGTAGCTGTGCCATTGCACTAATGATTGGATTAATGACCAAGTTCCTAGTTTTCGTTCGAAAGTAGCTCACCATTCGTGCTACTACGGGTGTTGAAAAACTACATGTGCGCCAACTTTCTTACTTCTCCGAATAGTTGCACTGGAGCTACACGTTTGACCATTGCTATTTGAACGTGTTGTTCTACTCCACGAAGAAGAGATAAGGTACAGCCCAGCGTGATACGACAGGCATTATATTTTGAGTAGAACGATGAATGTGGATTTGTGTATGACCGGTAACGTTCTTGTGAGACGATGGTAATCGGTAGAGTCAAGCTGACCTGGTCAGTATGACCTATTAATGACAGCTGATTTACTCAAGAGGAAAGAACGGTTGGAAAGCGCCCATCCTTCAGAAAACTGAGGCCATATATTTATACCCCCTGATCACTCGTGGTGCTACAAGCATAATGTTTCGGTAAGGCTAATGGGCGTCCACCGTTCATTGCAGTACTGAGGATTAGGAAACCCGAAGCAACTTGGGTTGGATCCGCTCGTAAGCCGGACAGATTAAGGTCACCTATGTGGTAGAAAATACTACGTATTTTAACACAGCAGCAGGTTGTAGGATATCAAATTCATTACAAAGTCTGTAAGTTTGGTCGCAAACATCATGGTACCAATAGAGAAGATACTGTGAATGCGCGGCTGTGTATCGTCTCGGTTGATGACGGAACGATTGAAACTCAACTGTTAAGCTCGGCGAACGGACTAACAAACAACACACTTAGCAAAGCTACCATGGTTTCGACAAACTGCTAGCCACATGACTGCTTGGATGGATTTACATCAGTCCCCGTTTGCATGCTTCAAAATGTCATGAGCCATAAAAATAGACCATGCGTACTGAAGTTTTCTGTGAAATACTGTAATGTGACGATTAATTCTGTTAAACAACATGTGTTACCAGGTTCGATAGGTTTTTCACAAATTTTCACCTTCGGTTACCGTCGATTTTTCAAATCGGTGAACTGTGTAGTATGGATAAGAATGATGGAAATTGATCGATGATCGAAAAGCTGTCTCAATCATTTTGAACTCATCGAACAGGCGTAGTCCACTCCTATTAATCGTCCAACGTTAACCGTTACTTGCAGTCATATGACGTTTGATAAAAGTCGTTTACTGGAATAGATTAAAGATGGCTTTTTACAGGCACACTTATTTGCACACAACTCCACTTTTCACAGCAGACTCCACTTAATCCAGCTGAATCTCTCGTTTATGATCGTCCGCCTCAACTGAATGTGCAGCACCAGGTCGGCTCATGCGTCAGTGGGTATGATACTCAATACCTTCAGTCAAAGAACATCGTAAACGAGAAATTCGGCAGGAACTCAGCTAAGTTCCCTGTCAAAAGCGAAATTCCTAAGCAAACGGGAGAATTTCTCAAAATATGTCCAATTTAGGTTCAAGTTGAACATAAAGTTGACGGAAACTCGAGCACTGCGCCTACCTGATGAGCCGCAAGAAGGGGGGAACCAGTTGTGAGCTGTCGAAGTCTTCCGTCTATTTAGAAATGACGCAACCTTTCCCATGGGAAGACGTCATGGAATTTTTTAAGCAAGCCTTAGAAAAATTCTCAACATAAACCGATGGAAATCGAAATGTAACTCGATATCAACATAACATGCTCCGAGCGGATGGTGCAGTGTATTGGCCTTCGCTGCTTGAAAAACGTTAACTAGACATTGGAACTGGGTACCGCCGTAGTTCCGCCTTGACCTTGGACAAACTAGCCTGTGATCAACGCACCCTTCACAGAGCCCACTGATATTCATGAGGCCAGTCACATACAGCTGATTTGCCACAAATGGAGTGCTAAGACAGTGAGCAGACTAACCTTCCCTCGCAATTAAGCACACACCCTAATCCGTACCTACATCTTTCACTATTGTCCAGCACACATTCAAGTGAACACGTTATTGTCTTACGGTTTTCGTATGTCCGACACAGCTGTCTCTATATTTATCCCAAGATACAAGGATTCCTGTCGGGCAGTCCTGAGAATTTTAACCAGACCACCAATAAAATTACTGGGAAGTTTCAAAAAGTGGTGCGATTGGGAACAAAAATGGTCCCATGGCGTAGATAGATCAAGTGAAACTAGGTTTCGACAATACAGATAGTAGTAATAAAGTAATAATCGTACAGCTGTGAAAACTTTTCAGTGCCTGGTTGTCATGCCACTCCAAGGGAGAAAGAGAGATTCGACAGAAGCAGTCGAAGTGCCAGGATTGGGTTCGAACCACGGACCTCCAAGTTTGCACCTTAACCACTGAACCATCTAGAGCTCTAAGGCAAATGGAGGTACAATGAAAGAATCCTATTGCTTCTAATTCTGTGCACATCATGAAGTCGCCAATAAGGTGACAATATCTACAGGAATGCTGTTGCATTTATCTGTTTAGTTCTCCCATGCGAACTTATTTTTCACCAAAAGCATTATAATCACACCAATCACACACTGTACTTCGTATCATGCCTCTGTTTTGCTTTTTTTTATAGAGAACGACTTTCGAGACGCTCCGTTGGCGATGGTTTTGATGTGTTCAAATCCACACCGGATCTGTCCAGAACCACGAGTGTGGAACGAGCAGATATCTACAAGTCTGCGACTCGCAGCCTTCCGAAGTCCAAGTCCCAAGAGATCAGTGGAACTTATCATATGACACTCCATGATTTGAAGGGGATCGACATCGAACCTGTGGAGGAATTGTTACGCACAAAATTGACTCACGTAATCTACAGCATTTTGGATGCAGGCATAAACGAGAAGATGCAAGATAGTCTCCTGGCAGCTGAAATCGGTCGTGCATTGGACAGACAGTACGGACGCAACTGGCAAGTGTTTGTGAGCAAGAAGACACTCGGATGTGCCTTCGGACACTTGCCCGGAAAAATGGTACAGCTGAAACACAAGAGTTACTTTGTGGTCACCTACCAGACTGGTGTAAATGAATCATAAGACTGGGAGACAGTATGCCAATATTTTCCCATTTTACACTGCTTTTTCAGCAGATCTGTATGTGTAAAGCCCCCGAATTCATACTGCATTAGTGCGAATTTTACTGTGATACGCCTGTTTTCAATAGTCTTCTATACCGCCTTGGATGGCTTGTCCATCGCATTGAAACCACCACAGCCGAATCTGCTGCCGTGTTGATGGAGAACCCTAGCGAATACCGCTCAGAAGTGACGGTCTAGATTATTCGACCAGATTCATGGGCGTCGGAATATTGGCGACAACAGACAACATATCCAGGCACTGTTAGCTCTGGTATTCACGTTGGTGATCAAAATTCGCTGTAGGGAACCCCAATAGCCAACTTGTGTTAATTACGATATGTATCAGAGTTTCGTACTCGTTGACGTCCAAGCGTGTTCGGCCAAGGTAACACCACAACAAGGATTCATCGTTCGACGATTGAGCTCCTATTAGTATGTGACCAGGCCAGGAAAAAAAATACGTTTAATTCATATTAATCAATCTTCTCTTGAAACTTCCGACAGCGCATCAATTTCTCAGAAAGACAGAATAAATGAACTGAACGTGTCCTTGTGATCTGCAAGCACCGTTCTTCAACAAGACCATCGTCTAGGGATTTAGTCTCGCATGATATTTGAAGCCGAGGATGGACCTCATGTTAGGGCACATGAATAACAAGTGAACAGTGAACTTAAAATATCCTTGGAACTTAGTTTTTTCGCCAGACAGACAGATTTGACATGGGCTCCGATCGGCTTCAGTAGTAGGCAAGCAGTGGCTGCGTACCCTATCAAGCCCGAATCACTGGCGGATTCCCTTTACTGGTGCCAAGCACTTTGATTCGGAACTGTGTTCTACTTTATCTCAACACATATCTCCTAGATGTCATGTCAATCCGCTGCGGCCAAGTTGGAGTTCGAGCACGAACCACAGGTCAAGACATGAAACCCACTAAATAAAAGACTGTTAATCAAGAGCGAATTCCACCAATGGGGTTTCACTTAGTTAAATGGGGCCCAGACTCAGTGAAAAAACATTCGTAATGTGGTTATTTGTTCTAATTTACTTACTACTCCCCCTATCTGCCGTGAACAGCAGATATGTGCACATGGTTTTCAAAAACTAAACATTTCCTTGCGACCTTTCGAATTTCCTGGATATTTATTGAATATTACACAATGGTAAACGAACACTCCAAAGCAGTTCCACAATTTCCTTATACCAGAGGCGGGGACTGAGCTTGGAAACCAGACCATACACCATTCGCATGCCTCATCAGTAGTATACACCGTTACACAACTTTTCACTTTAAAAGTCGAATACATGCCACCGATGTTCCTTTTGCCTCAGTTGGGACAGTCTCAGCAGCTGGTCTATTCGGCACCTCTTCGGGTGTATCATGCCAGCTCCGAAGCTGCGTACCGTTTACTCTCTTCGATCCTCGACCGTTATGAATTGTATAAACGTTCCCTCGACGGCAAACGTGCTATGTCGCCGACCGCTCAGCTTCCGCGATCCCATTCCACTTTTTGCAGGATTCTGATAATCCTTCCATTTGACCTCCGAGCCTATGTGGAATGGTAGTGTCTTCCTACCAGCCATTTATTCCTGGTCCTTTCCTGAACGGTGGTCAAGTTTTCACGAGCTCTCCTACCTTCCCCTCCCACCTTCTCCGGAAACAGGTGTGCTGTCCGCCAAGACTCAATTTCCTGGTTAATTGGAAGGCATGGATGTCGACCTTACACCAACATGAGAATTTGCTAACGGTTGGGTTGATCGATGCGTCCAGTTGTAGCACCCTTTCGGTGCCTAACTGCCATGTCACCAGAAGGAAGCGCGAGGGCTCGGATAGTGCCAGGTTACCCATGCCTAGACGGGGGAAGAGGCAGAGGTCGGGTTGGAACCACGGATCTTTCGGCTAGTAAATTCGCACTCTAACTACTGAGCCATCGACGCACGATGTGTTGCCATCACCATCGGCAAGTTTACTTTCCAACCATCTAATTTGGCCACCAGCCACTCCTTCGTTCGGTTACGCCGTTTGTTTTCGGGTAATGGGGTACCGTCCTTGGCCGTCTGATGCTCAGCTTTTGTAGGCAACCCCTAAACTCTTCGCTCTTAATGTAAGGCCCCAGATCCGCTAGGGTCATTTTTGGTACCTCGTGATATGATGCATGAATATTTCACTGATCGCCGTCACCCGTTGATTTGGTACGGCTGCCGCCTCGACACACCGCGAAAAGTGCTCCGTCAATATTATGACATATTGATTTCCCTTGGATGTCACCAGAAAGGGGCACCTGGCGCCAACGGACCATAACTCGCCAATCTCTGATACGGGGACAGGTTCCATGGGGTGATATGCTGCTGTCGTATCTCCTTTCGTCAGTTAACACCGATTACAGGACACGACATAATCCATCACCTCACTTCCCATCCCGGTCCAGTAGGCTCATGCGCTTTGGTGCACCCTGTGTGTAGCATCTCGTGGCATTCGACTATCAGCTTCCGTCTCAAAACCCGAGGTATCACGAGCGGCACAACATCAGAATCGGTGGTGTTCCGGGATACTATGCCAGCTTCACTCATGGTCAGCCTATCCAAGTAATTCTGAAACGTCTCCAGTTCTCTGTCTCCCTATCCGTTCTCAATACTCCTCCCACCCAACAAGGCGGCTGCATCCTTCCGTAACACAGGATCCTGCTGTTGCAGTTGCACGAACCCTTCGATATTCAGTTCGACGATGAACCTATTGGCATGAATCATGATCATGCAGGCCTCATCTTCAGCCTCTAATCTGGACAGCCAATCAGCCAGGTGGTTCTTCTTCCCTGGATCGTGAAGTCGTACTCTTACACCCGGAGTGTCCAGCAAGGGGTATGTGATCGGTGTCGACGTGAAATCTTTGCCCCAGCAAGTACAGCCTCCACTTATCCAGGACCCAGACGATCGCCAAAAATTATTTATCAATAGTTGAGTATTTCTGCTCACTGTTAGTCAGGTCACGAATGGCATATTCGATTATTCTATTCCTCCGTTTCAGCACTGCACCGATAACGATGTCACCAGCACCTGTTGCAACAGTAAACATCTCCCCGAAATGGGCAGTTTGAGAGTCAGTTGCTGATCCAGGATCCGCGATTTGACGCTTTCGATAGCCTCATGTGCTTCACTCGAACTTCCGATTTCGATGCAGAAAGCCGCACAGTGGAGCAGCAATCGTGATGAAATCCTTGACAATCCGGCTTTAGTACGCTGCTCATCCGAGAAACTGCCGTAGGGACCGCTTTGGATTGGGGACTGCACAGTCCTGGATCTTTCCCAGTTCTACTGACAGTGGGATAACTTCTGCGTGACCCGCTTTGTGCCCGAGCGGTATCATCGAACTCCGAGCGAGCTGTCTTAGTTTCATTTATCTGCAGGCCAGCGTTCCTAATGCGCTGCGAGATCATTTACTAGCAAACACATACTGAATGGTTATAAGCCATCAGAAACACACACACAACCAGCAACCCATCGCTACGCACTACTACGCTACACACTGATTATGTCACCTCGATTGGTGATGAAACATTTACATTCAGATTGCCCAGCTCAGCGAACAAGCCAACGACCACCTACGATATCTGAGCAACCAGCATTTTGCTCTACAGAAAAACAATCAGTATGTTTTTATTTGGGCAACGTTTCACTTTTGACACAAAAGCTTTACTTGGCCTGATGAAGCTATTGTGTCAAAAGCGAAACGTTGCCCAAATAAAAAACTACAGATTGTATACCAAGCCCTCCTAAAACGATGCTCCTAGTTCTGTTCAACAAAATCCGAAAACAAATTCTCACAGGACCAGTAAACAATAAAACTAAATCCATTTCCATGCCGAACCACCAAAAATAAGCAAACGGTCGACATCAAAAACAAAAACACACCGCGCCAGCTGATTAGTCGCTATCATGTATGATATCATGTTTAGTACCAGCCAAATCCTGCTACTATGACCTGGTGGTCGGCTTTGCACTGCAAAATTTGGTGGAATGTACTGGCTGAAACAATGTTAATCGATGCTCGAAAAACGTCATTCAGTTGTAACACCCTTTTGGTGCCTAGCTGCTATGCCACCCGAAGGAAGCACGAGGGCTTGGATACTATCAAGTTGCTCAAACCTAGAAAGGATAAGTCGAGATGCAGAAGCCAGGATCGAACCAAGGACTTTCCGGTGAGTAAATTCGCGCTCGAACCACCGAGCCATCTCGTCCTCTATACAATACCTACACTAATAAGGTTAAGTTAGTAGGGTCATAGTCTTGAGTATGAAACCGTGACACAATCTGAGCTCGATGGGTGAACCTCTCTGCGTCGGTTGGTCGCCAGTAGTGTCGACAACGAACGAAATCTTGAGTGAATTTAACAGTAGAGCAGTTTCAAGACGCGGTGTTCAGTCCTGACAATAACACCTGGGGATCAGTCTGTGTGTTGCAAACAATCGCATTACGAGGCGATCTGGAGGCAAAATTTTAATCTCTTCTGCGGTAAGAGAATGAAGGCAACAAGGCATTTCCTCCACACTTATGTGGTCATCAGGTTAGAAAAGATTGAACTAAAACCGCACACCCTACTATCGTCCGAGGGCTCATCATGACACACTAACCCGTACATCGAAAAGTATCCGAATCTTATCAAAAGTCTGATGAAGCTCGAAATGCATCTGCAGTGCGCAATAACACCAATAGTCAGATACCCATGCTTTACTCCCGCGACCTGGGGTCGGGTCGGGCCGGCCCTCCATAGGTACTGGGGCACACGTTTGACTTATGGCCTCCCGGAAAGGGCCCTAGAGAAAACCCCGACGCCTACCTCCTCGTAGGTTGGGCTTTTTGGTTCAAGGCTCAAAGTGACGTACCACAAACAAACTACATACTTCGGTCCCGGCAAATCGTGGGAGCATTATTCATTCTTGCGGAATTCCCTTCAAAGACACACCCATAGCCCCTCCCCCATCCTTCAACTGAACATACGTAGACCAACTTGTCAGCCACCTATCATTTGTCCCGCGCCACTGCTACTGAACAAGACAGGCAAACTTAGCACTCCTAGATTTGAGGGTTCTGCTCCATATTATAGACCTAAACGTCTGTGTTCTCTGTCAAATTAGGCATACGGTTGCATGGGTAAACCCACGATTTTTGGCAAACTTGTATTCATTCTCAATATAATTACACTATTCTTCGGTAAAAGTTTTCACAATACTTGTTAAGAATCTGGCTAGCACATTAGGTGGGGAAACCATTCCGTCTGGTATTGGTTTCATGAGGACATGAGCTTTGTGGATTTATGGTAGGCCGTAAAGCCGTGGCTGGACTGCACATTTATGGTGGCTTCAACATCACAATTCTTTCCCTGAATGGTTTACAATGTACAGCGAGTACCCACCAACTTCAAGGTTAGTCAGTCGCATTATATACCCGATATTCCTGCTGGCTATCTGTCGGCAAGGTCTTTCAGCTAGGTGTTGCTTGACCTTCCGCAGATAAGTAGCGTTATGACGACTGTGGCCCTACTTTTATCCACAATCGTAACACGGCCTCAACCCTGAGCTACTTTGAGTTATTCGTCCACCCATCCTAAACCGGAATTCCCCAGTATTGGCTCAACCAAGTTTAGTCGAGTAAGCTCCATGTGTACGGAAGAAGTCAACCGGACAGTGGTTCAGAAGTAAAGAACCGACTTCAGTGAAACAGCAGCAAATATCAACTAAGAAAAATATTGGTACCTGTGGTGAAACCCAAAAGGGAATGGATTCAAACTGCCGTTATTGCAAATAAATTAGGGACGTCCGAAATTATTCGAAGGATTAAAAACACCGTTAACATGAAAGTGGCGTACCAAAAGGGAAAGTTCTCGTCTTGCGCTGGTGTATTTGGGCGACTCTCTTCCAGAAAACAGAAGCGGGGACTGCGTCTGCAAAATTAAATACAATGACGGCACTAATGTACACGTTGGGCAAACGGCTGCAGAACTTTCCACCAGAATCGGTCACCACGAAAGAAAAAAGAAAAATGCCGCGGAAAATATGAATTAATAAGCTGATGTATATCGGGCGTTACCGGAAGACTCAACATTGTCGAAGGATAAGCTAGATATGAAACACGAGGTAGAAAATAGATATATCTTGAGGCTTTGAGGCGGATTCACACCGAGGCGCTGGAAGTCGTTAGACACCGCAGTGTGAATAGAACCGAAGGTGTAAAACTGGCGAGTGTAGAAAAATGCTTCAGATCAGTCGAGCCGACAAGTGGCAATCATAAACATGAGTAGCACAGATCTCAAATGCAGAGCCGAAGCAGACCAAACGATCACGTCATCTCACCCCCTAAGCAAACTGTCGTTGCGATTACAAACCAACACAGACCAAAACAATTTACCAGTGACATCAGCTGAAGCGCCCTGAACCTGGAGATCAGAAGCTGAAGCCCGAGCAAAGTGCTTTTAAATCTCCCCAAGCCACCTGCCGTATAAGTTAGGCACACACCGATATTCAACACTGACCTATTGTGCTAATCGGAAGAGATCTTGCCTATTGATTATCCGA